GTAGCTCAATTTTGTGTGCTCCTCATTTTTCTTCATAATGTATTATTGTTTGTATGGATTGGTGCAAATTCTCTTTTAAATTGTTCTTATCAAAGGGGTTTCAACCACTGGCTTTAAGCATGTGGTTGTGATATAGGAAAGCCAATATGTGCGGGTGAGTGCTTTCAAGATATGCATTATCACTAAGAGCCTTTTTTTTCTTTCTTTTTCTAGGTATTCTCCATGCTTCCAGGTTTTAGCCAAGAGTTGATGCCTAAAGGACATGAGAAGGAGAGCCAAGCAAAGTTCAAAAGATACATGACAATGATGGACTCGATGACTAATGAGGGTAAAGTTTTTGACCACATGGATTTGTTTGTTTGGGAATATTACTATAAATGCACCCTTGAGGTGAATTCAGCTTTATTTTCCCAGAAAAACACTCAACTACCCACCATATACATCAATCATTCCAATTTCTCATAAATTATGGCATTACAACAATTCCTTTCTTTACCAAATATACCCCTAGGTTGGAACCTGTCGAACCTGAAGCTGATGAACGAGTCTCGGATAATGCGGATAGCGAGAGGTTGTGGGCGGCCGGTGAGAGACGTTATGGAGATGCTAGAAGATTTCAAGCGGCAGGCCAAGGTATGGAGCAACATGAAGGGGCTTAAGATCCCTAAACTGCCACGTAACATGAACGTGCAGCACATGAGCAAAGTGCTGCCGCCCCAAATGCTCAAGCAGATTGGCGGTATGGGCGGTCCCCAGAGCTTCATGAAACAGATGGGTTCCGCCAAGGACATGATGGGTATGTTTGGCGGTGCGGATAAGTGAAAAAACTTTTTTTTTTTTAAGTGAACGCATGAGGGGCGAAGAAGCTCTTTCCTACTCCAGGCAAGTAGTCCGTATCCGTACTAGCAAACGGGACACGGACATTGGCTTGTGATCAAACATGTCGATATTGTAGATATATATTATTTTTTTTCTTTGAAGCTGGCATGAATCACAGCTAAATGTAATTAGGTTGAAATTGTTTGCTTATTTATGGCCGAATTTTCTAGTTGTTGCAGTATTTTCTTTTCTCGTCTACGTGGGTGGGGAAAGAATGGAGATTCAGTCTTGTACTTGACACCAAATTGAGAAATAGTTTTGTGGTTGCATCGATTTTACAAAAAAACAGAGATTTAGTCTTGAGAAATAGTTTGGTGGTTGCGTTGATTTTATAAGATACCTACAAAAAAACTTAACATTTTGTCCTTCTGCCGGTAAAAGTCGGTCAATTTGACCGGCTATTGAGTTGGATATATAAATCGGTTGCCACGAGTGTGAAAACAAAAAATGAAAAATAATATCCCAAGGACAAACTTTTGTCCGTGTAAAGACCACAAGTCAGTTTTTTTTTTTTATTTTTTTTTTCTTAGTTATAGGGATGTTTTATAAAGTCAAACGCGATCACCGTATTATTTCTCAATTAAGTGTTATTTACAGGATCAAATCTCTAATTTTTCCATGTAAATATTTTTGTTGATTATCACCACTTGTATGTTTGCAACAAATACATAAACATTTTACTCAGTATAGTTCATTAAAACAGAACTATAATAATAGAGATTAAAGAATCAAACATAAAACAAAAGCATACAACATTACTCAGTTCTGACTATATATATATATTGCTGTACCATATATATATGCAAAGAATCAGCTTTCTTAGTCGAGTAAACATATGCGTACAAATCTACTGTTCACCAATTGCAAACATTCATCTACCCTTCCCTTAAAGTCAGGCTACAGTTTATTGTCATGAATAATTTTCTGTCTCTTGTTTTTTTCAAATGATTGTTGACGATGTGTCGAGGGACTAGCTAGGGGTGATTAATGGTACAGTTCGGTGTGGTTCTCAACCACAAAACGTAGAACCTATCCAAATAACAATCGAACCGACACTAGAACATCACTTACAATTATCGGCAATGTGATTAATTAATTAATGTTAATCAATTAACATTAATTAATGACAAACATTGCACCCTAATCCT